GGGAGCCTTTTCTTTTTATTTTTTGTGGCTATAATTTATCTGAATATCATTTTATAATTAATTATATGGCTCAGCTTTAGTATAGCAACTGCGCTAATTGTGTTGATAATTTTTTATTCACGCACACAGATGCTAAAGTTTAATTTTTTAGAGGTAGTTTAATTTTTTCAATGCGTGGAATTCGTTAGTTGTCTAGATACAACTTTTGAAAATACGTAGAATTAAACCTTTGTTTGATGTTTTATGAACTTTGACCAAATCTGTTGTCTTAAACACTGATTTTATCGAAAAACAAAGAGATTTATATGCACAGAGCCTACTTTCGTGATTTTTTTTTTCAAAAATTTTTCAAATAAATTTTCAAAGTTACAATATTTTACTAATTTGTATATATATCTTCACTACTCGTTTATTCATTCATTCATCATAATGGTTGAAATTTTCGACAGCTGGCTATATAATATCAATTACCCATTTTTCCGTTCATTCTGTGGTTCGTACATATTCTGTCTTTGTTTAATTTAAAGTTTAATTGCAGATATGAGGGAGACAAATATAATAAACCTTTTTATAATACATATTATAAATATTATTTGCAAAGCTACATCCTGATTTCGGAAAAGTGCTACGCTTTTTGGCGCGTCTGTTGTATAGGATTGTTTCTGTAGTTATTAAACTCATTGGTTAATAATAAATAAAATAAGTATGTTTTATAGATCGAAATGAGTATTATTCTTATAAGGACCGAGATTGTGTGTACCACTTACAATATAAAATAAGACTTAGATATCTTGCATTACCTATGTTTTTTTTAAATTAATTTCCGTTGGAACTCATAATCACGAACTGAGTTTTTATTTTTTATATTAATTCTATTGCAGGTGGATACAGCACGACTAAAGTACCTAAATGATAAAGGCAATAATAAACATTACTATTAATCATTGTATTTAGAAAATACTCGTAGAAATAATATTAACAAAAGTAATCAATCAGATTATTATTTTACTTTAAAATATATGTAATGTGATCTTGGTTTGATAAAAAAAATGTTATCTTTAAGTCACCACCAGCCCTTTTACGTCCCTATTGCAGGGTTCAGGCTTTCCTTATGGATGGTTAAGGAGGATGGGCCATGACCCTCCACCCTGGCCCAATGCGGATTGGAGGGTATTGACGACTGCAAATGCAGCCGGGACCAACGGCTTAACGTGCCTTCCGAAGCACGGAGTAGCTCGAGATAATAATATTTTGGTCACCCATCCCGTGACCGACCCTTGCGAAAGTTGCTTAACGACTACGATCGCGGGCCGCGGCGCTTAATCACTACGCCACCGAGCTACCAGTCTGATCACTAAGTACATTTACATTAAGTACACAGATCATTAAGTACATTTACATATATATTTCAGCACAATCTATTTATTGTTTTATCGGTTCCTATACAATTTATGATTTATTTTAAATCATGATAAATAAACAGTTTTTAAATTAATTAAGTGAAAAGAATTATACGTATATAGTATGGTATGACAGATGACAAAACTAGCAATGTTTTTACTTGTGGCCACCATGAGCGCTGCCATAGATTGCTTTACCCCCACCTAGTATTTCGCCCCCAGCGAATATGCCGTTATAAAAAATACATACTATGATATACCTACTTTACACTATAATATGTAAGAGAATATTGCCGATATACAATGATTTTGTGGTCCAGACTTAAGCTATTCGACCAGTGTAAGGGTTTGTTAATTTTTTTAATCTTCATTTTGATTTAAAAGACCAATGTTTTTAGACTATAAAACTAATTATAATGTCCCTAATAAATGTTATTAAAAATTCAAAGAAAGCGACATAATGAATATTGCTAATTTATACATTAGAGATACGGAAAAGAAGTTACTATTTAAAAAAGCGATGGACACATTTTTAACGCAGGAAAATAACCGGTTATGGAAATAATTCCTAATATGAAATATTAAAATTCCTTCTAAGTATTATATTAATAGTTTCATTATTATAAAACGTAAAAATTTGAGAATTCTTTTGGCTTGTTTCCAAATGACTTAAATTTTTTATAATGAATAATTTAGAAAGTAATTCCAGTATTTCATTTTAAATTACTTTCTTTTACTGTCAATATCCATAGTGTGTCATAGAATAAAGGTTTCCAAGATAATCCGAAACCCGAAGATTTTCTGACCCCTACAAGCCTAAAATGAGATAGGCATACATTAGACAGTAGAAGAAGTTGATGAAGATTAATAAGCTTGAATTCTGGACTAAAACATCATGTTATTTAATTATTTCCCTTGATTAATTAGAGTTAAAAAATTAAGTCGATACTATAAATTGAATTAAGTTAATACGAGCTCACTAAAATATTTAGTTGAACATTACTCAATATGAATCTTCCATTTTGCAGTACTAATTACATTGGTTATAATGTCCACTAGAATAATAACACCACCAGAATAGTAATAACACTGATTTTGTTTTAAAACAATTGAGTCGTCATTGCATAAGCAAAAAATATAGCCGCGACTCTAGTTGAGTAATTTTCCTGTCAGACATTTTTGGTGGCAAAGATAATACAAGAAGACAAACCATTTTCAAAATAAGATAGAAGCTATTTTCTTTTCAAGAATAGTTTCAGTTTTTAAATACATCGTATGACTTTATCTGAAGTTAATATGGTAAGTTTTTTAAATATATTGCAGTAAAATATCTCAAATTTTATTCCATTTTAATTTCTTTGCTAATCCATATTTTTAGTAGAAAATATATATTCTTGCTATAATAATCTATTAATATAATAACAAGATCGAGAGCTTTCAATAACACATTGTTACAAATTAATTATCTGAATTAGTTAATTAAATCTACAATTACGACGGCTATAACCTAGTAACTCGCATGCCGGTTTTAAGGTGTTACCATCTTTGAGGCGTTGAGTTCGATTCCCTGTCGAGTTAATGTAGTAAATGAACTTATATATATTGTCTTCGCTTTCATATTTACAGTATGTAAGTGCTTTAGCTACTTAATATAGGAAATGAGCAATATATGTGCGTTATTAATATTTCTTTATTGTAATTATTATTCTACCTACGGAAATCCTGTTAGATTCCGGTCATGAAATATATAATCAACTGTATATTATATAAAAGTTTCTTTGTTTAGGATTTTATATTTAGTATAAAAGAGTTTAACTTTGTTAATTTCGTAAAAGCAATGGTCGGTGCTTTTCATGTTTAAGTGCAGAACATAGGTATGTCTGCATAGTTATGCACAGTACAATAGTCAGTATAACAAAACCACGGAGCACAAAATAGTATGGCGTGTGTGTAGAAAAAAAATCGGTCAAGTGCGCGTCGGACTCGCGCACCGATGGTTCCGTACAAACTTGTAGGTATTTATTAAAAATGATTTTATTATTGATGTAACTAAAAATCTACGCTTAACGCATTTTTTTTATCTCTGATATAAACGACGTTGCTTCGTACCAAATTTCAAGATTCTGAGTTCACGAGAAGTGCCCTGCAGGTTTTGAATCCCTTGCGAGTTTCGAAAATTTACGGAAATTTTGCGACATAAACGTCTGTATCTTTTATTTGCATTGGCTTAGAATTTTGATTATTTTCACAGCTCTAAGGGACACCTCCCCCCGAACAATAGAATGTTATCATAAAACAACACAGAATCACAAGAATATCAGATTGACTGGCCGACTGACTGACCATTTACTCCATAATAAAACTTATAAAAAAATAACTGTAAAATTACCGTTCTGTAGAATGACAGTATTGATTCGTAATAGGTTTAGATTAAAGTTTTACGAGCGTAGAAACAGCTACATAGGATAGGATCATTAACGATTAGTTGAAAAATATATTATTTGTTTAATTTTATAGCTTCTTGTACATTTCAGCATATTGTTACTGCAATAAAAGAGAAGGTCGTCCATTCTAATTATTTATTAAAGTTGCTTTACATTTATGGGGCTATTTTCAACGTCTTCATTGACAATACAACTTATTTTCGAGTTACATATCATTTATTATTTATTACAAAAATTGATAATTTTGATTAAATTATATTTTTCTACAGACTTCAAAATCCAAAACGAATTTACCATAGAAAATCTTTTCTATGTATTATTATTACATTTGATCAATTTCACTTTTATAATGCTATACTGGAAAATATTATAAAATTGCTTAAAAATCGACATTATACTCTGAGTACTCTGAGATAAGATAAAAATGGTCCTGGGTTGCTCAGTGGTTAGAGCAGTCGCCCGGATTGCAAAAGGTTTTTTGAGCATTTTTCATTAAGAATATTATCTATTTCTGTTGTCTGATTTCTCCATGAATTATAGACCTATTTTCAAAAATTCCTTTTTTTTAAATCGAAAGTTGGGCATGAACTGGTCCCATATTTTTTTAATCCGAGATCGTTATATGTTTTGTTTTTCATAATAAAAATAACTGGTATCGTTCTGCCAAATAACAAAATCACTTACACGTAGATAATATTTATGTCATCGAGAAAAACACAGTTAGCGTTTTTTTCTTTTAACGATTTTTGTTAACTTAATATCAAATTTGATTAAATAAAAATTAAAAAAAAACAAAGTAGGTATATTTAAAAAAAAAAATATATTTTTCACGTTTTCAAAGAACCTATTTTAAGAGTATTCGGGTTAAATTTTCCATATTTTTGAAGACGATTTTATTTTTTCAAAATTGTGTCTTTTGTCTATTAATATCAACAATACAAAACCAAAAGCGAGTGATACATTAAAAATATAATTCAATATTAATTTTCGGCTTTTATCTAGATTTATTAAGTCATAGAGCAATGAGAAGCAGGGTCTCCTTGAAATACTTTCGAACTAACGTGGTCTACGCGTAAACGTTTGCTCAATGCGAATCAACATTTGATTATATCGTCGACACCATGTGTATCCGCAGTCTGTAAAGTACACAACTCACCTAATCATCGCCTGTCATTTGTTCACAAAATTCGGGAGTAGGCAGCTGGATAACGATTCCACAAAAAAAAAAGATGAAACACTATGTTTCGTTTACTTCTAGACGAACTAGTGACGATAACACGATACGGTGTAATTTGTTTTAATTGCTTTTTGGAAGCGTCCGCGTTCGCCGGCTCCGTTTGACGTTAGCGCGACTGGTGAGACGAGAGGTACAGATCGACTGAACGCACGGCAGGTTGCGCGCGCACGCTCCGAACCTAGCAGACGACCTTCACGCCCGGTGGATTCGGGGTGACTCCCACAACAATGAAGTTGGAGACAAATAAACAATAGCTGTCGAAGGTGTCATTATTTCGTTTTGTAAATATACGATAGTGCGCTATCGATTATAAGAATTTAGAACGTTGCAACAGTGTTATGATATGAGAGTAGCCTACCTACCGTTAAACTAAAAACAAGTCTGATAACAGCCTGCGTCAGTGTCACACAACTAATTTGATAATCCAAGGAGTTTAACTAGAAGGTTCGATTTTATTAATTATGTTAAGGCAATTATCTATTATGTTTATTAATTGAGTCTCTTAACGATTCATAATAAATGCTCTAATTGCTTTATGGTCTTTAGAGTATATTGTCGCTATATTTGATCGTGATCTCCTATTTCTATGAATTTGGGTAAAAGTAATAATAACGCTCATACATATGAAATGGTATATAAAAATTAAGCCAATTTGATTATTTATTGATTTCGGTACTTCATTATTTGGTCAGAGTCCGTACAGACTTCACTCACCCTTGGTCTGTTATTTTCAAAATTTTAAAACCATACCCTACTTTTAATAGACTTTCCAAATGTACCTACCTACTTTTAATAGAATTATATTCTGTAAAATTTTCAATAAATTTTCTATTTTTCAAGCATATATATAATTTGAATTGGTATGTCAAAAGCAGTTGTCTTCTAACAATTACCTTATCTGAATTTGCATATACCTAAGTTTAGTTTAGATGATATTATTTGAATTTTTAATATGGCGAACGGCAAAAGACGGCGATCAATTGTGATATTGGTATCAAAAGAAAAAGTTTACCCAGAAAAATTCTATCATAAAAATTTCATTCCAACATGGTGGACTACCCAACATGGAAGACTTATCTTTAAGCTCACAATATACATAGGTATCCAATGAAATGGTTTGCTTTGAAGAGATTAAATATAAAAATGAAAATGAAAATCTTATTCTTGAATATTCTTGAATAAGATTTTCATTTTCATTTAATTAAATTAAATTCATTATTATTAAATTAAATTCATACCTAAATTTATTCTTGAATATTCTTGAATAAATTTAGGTATGAATTTATTCAAGAATAAGATTTTCAATTTTTTATTTTAGGTGTCACCTACACCTAAAATAAAAAATTGAAAATCTTATTTCGAATTATAAGAAAGTCGTAATTGAAACTGCTTTCAGAAAAAAATGAACAGGTAGGTCTAATGTAACTATAGAACGTATGAAATTATTTTCCACGACGAGAAAATACAAAATCAATACAATTTCGATATTTTCGTTTCCTATGGTAAACATTATTTTTCATGTCAGCCACCAAGCACCTGACACTAGTGACACTGATTGTTCTGTCATTTCTGTCATTGATGTCATATTTTCTATAATAAATATCAATATAGCACTGTCACGTAGAATTGAGCAAATATACAAAATATTAACTGTTATGTAATGGTTATTACAATGCGTATATATAATAGCAAGCATCATCACTAGAAATAAGCAATAATAATATTTTCTATACTTAGCAGTATTATTATAAGATGAACACTGAACAAACACATGTCCATTTACAATGTGGCGTATAAAACCACGGAAGCGTAAAATGTAGGTACCATAAGAACTGTTAACTTTGTCATAACCAATGTTTCTACGGCTTTGTATATTACTTTGTTCTTGTATATTACCTTCAGTTAGATGTTGGGTGTACTTTTAAAGTTTAGAAAGTAAAAGTAGTGTAAATTTTAATGTTATTGTAATACATCTAAGTTATTATTCTAGATGTCACGCTTCGCTTCAACTAGATTTGTTGTTCCCATGCTCTTATAATGGTTTCATTCATTGTCTTATGAGGAAGCAGAGAGGTTCTTTTACCTCATTAAGCCAATTTTATCAATAGTATTTTCTATATTTTCTTACTATCTGATAGCTAGTGGGAATGTGGAGTGTAAATAAGAACTAATGGATATATAATAAAATATGACAATAATCGAGTCAAAAACTAAGAGCAAAAGCAAAAGAACAAATATAAAATGATGAATAGTATCGTTCCAACCAGTCGCCACTAGCTGTTTTCCAGCGTCTTCACCCGCGTAAATTATAGCCTACGTCAACTAAGTATGATGTAGCTTCTCGTAGGTGAAAGAATTTTTAAAAGTTCAAGAATTTCGTTTCCAATTCAATACTGAGTGTATTGAATCATATCTTTCCTCTTCATAATATTTGTTTAGATTAAGTTTTACACCTTTATGTCTAAGCAATAAGTATGGCTCTCTTTATGGCTCGGGTAAATTATAGTCCATGTCTGAGAGTAGATGAAAGAATTTTCCAAATTTCCAGAAGCTTCTAAGGCTTTTCAATACAAACAATCAAATCATACCTTATAATTAATATTAAAATAGATGAATATTATGTTAATATTCGAGTCAACTGTCACTTTTTCAATTTTGCAAACATAGTCTGTTTAATATTTATATTGTAATGATGTGTTGACAATATATTTAATAAAATGATTACTTAGTAGATACAATAAAATGAGCACGAACTTATCAGTATGACCTAGATAAGGAGCAAGATGCAATTATTCCATATCTATTGAGTTCATTAAAAGTAATAACATTGAAAATATCCCAATGATAATAGTTTATCTGTTATAAATAGGTTTTATATTATACCGACGGTTTACTGAAATTTTGCTTATGTAAATTATAACCTATGTCGCACGCGTATGGTATAATTTCCTGTCAGTATAAGAATTGTACAAATCGATGCAGAAGTTTCGGGACCTATTCAATGAATACAAACAAATTCCTCTTTTAGATAATACTAATTTCCAAACATAACATGACATGACACACACTCGCGCGCGCGTCTTGCTGTAGTTGGTCGAAGGTTATTTAATTATTGTTTTGTATAATTAAATAACGAAAATCCGTAATCAGCATTATGATACGTAAAAACTGTACTTCTATTATTAAAATAATGAATTGCTGTGGGTTTTGCTTTTAAATTGAGTAAATAATTGACTTCAAGTTGTTTTTTATATTCATTTTTTTACATATTTATCTATATTATTTCAATTGTTTTATTTTCTACTAAGGCTACAGTCCGAAGATTACCCTCCGCATGCAAATTTAAAATTATACTCTCTATTCACATTATGTAGATTTCTTTAGTATAAACTCTATTTAGGGTATTTAAAAACAGCTAATTAGATTAGAACCGCCGCTTTAATGTGTGACTGTTACTACAATAACATTATCCCACATATCGTAGACATATATAAAACCCCGAGCATGACCGCACGACGCAGGTGGGTAAGCTAGAAATAACTTTGATTGTACTGTTTTTTTTTTGCGTAGCTATTCATCATCATCATCATCATTATCAGCCCTTTTACGTCCCCACTGCAGGGGCTCAGGGGGCCAATTCTACTAAATAAATGTTGTTTAAATCGGATTGAAAACGGATCGAAACCGAACAAAACTACAGTTTTTTATGGTTTTTCTATTCTACTAAGTGACATACGATACAATTCCAGCTAAAATAGAAATGGAATTGGAAAATCCAGCTAAAATGAATGGCTAAGGAGGATGGGCCATGACTCTCCACGCTGACCCAATGCGGATTGGAGGGTATTAACGATTGCAAATGCAGCCGGGACCAACGGCTTAACGTGCCTTCCAAAGCACGGATTAGCTCGTGATGATAATTTTTTGGTCACCCATCCCGTGACCGAACATAGCGAAAGTTGCTTTACAACAGCGATCGCGGGCCGCATCGCTTATCTACTACGCCACCGAGCTACTTGCGTAGCTATTAGTGAATGCAATTTCATCATCAGCCCTTTTATGTCCCCACTGCAGGGGTTCAGGCCTTCCTTATGGATGGTTAAGGAGGATGGGCCATGACCCTCCACGCTGGCCCAATGCGGATTGGAGGGTGAATGCAATTTCATTCTCGTGATATTTCGGCCTTTTTTAGCGAGATTGAGTTCGGCCAAGAAATGGGTGAGATCTCGCAAGTTTAACGAAATTTGATGTGCGGCAGCTAGTGAGTGCAAGGGATCAAAACTTCAAAAGACTAAGTTTTGCACTTTACACAGTACTTTTGAATATGAAACAATCTTCTCAGAGGCTGGTTTTCTGGCCCGCAATATAAGAAGAGATTTAGCAGACGACTCTTGTACATTTTATGCTTCAAATAATTCGTAATAATGTCTTGTGAGGTGAACTGAAGAAACTTTCCATTGAGTTGGTATATTTCATTAATTCATCATGATCACTTAGTTTTATTATTCGTTTCGTACCTTGTAGTGAAATTGCTTATTTGCACATTTGCTGCAACATCAAAATACGATATTTGTAAGTGAAAATTGTGTGCTCGATTAGTTTTTTCCTGATACCCAATTTAATTGTGTCTACAAGGGATAAAAGAGACCAGACCATAATGCATTCGAATACCTAAAATAATTTGAAAATCGGTGAACATACATAAAAAAATACACCCGTGGAACATAGAACCTGCTGTTTTTCAAATTTGAAGTCAGCCAAAAATATACCGAAGGGAATTAGAAGAAATTCTTCCCAAGACAAATTCATACATTTGTTTTAATCCCTAGATTAAGCTTGTTTGTGCACCATCGATTTAAATTGATGTGCTGATCATTCGCCAATTATAATAATATCTGATTGCCTACATGTTGTCTACATAAAGGGTAGCATTCAATTCATTCACAAAAAAACTACAAATACTGATTTAATATTTGTCTAGCAAAAATATTTTTTTAATTGTTAGACTTATACTTTATACAAATGTGAAAATATCACATTTAATAAATACATACAAATCTGTTTTAAAAACAGATGTATTGGATATAATGATTCGTTAGCGAATACAAACCTCGATACAAATATTTAAAATATGCTCACTTTTATAAATTAGCGTTAAAATCTATACATATATCTATTTATTTATGCTTTCATGCACACTAAAATATGTACAAATGGCGGACTTAACGCCTTAAGGCA